ATGATAACTGGCTAGGATCGGTTTATTTTGCCCACAGCGGCTGCTTCTATGAAATGTGTCTGGCAGCATGTGGCTAGCACTTAGCAACATGTTGCTAGCTAGCAGCGTGGACATTGACTGCGGCGACTGTTGCTCTTGTCCTCAACTGTTCGACTGGGGCTTTTTTTTGTTTTTATTATTATTTTTGCTGTCGTGCAGTTGCCATAGCGACACGCCCACTTTTGCATTTTCAAGGGCGCTCACGCATACCTCTGGCTACTTTTTTTTTCTGCTGCTGCAGCAATTGCTGTTGTCAGAGTTGTTGCTGCTGTTGTTGTTGTTGCTGTTGCTGCTGTTGGTGTCGTGTTGGCTATTTTTAACAGCCTCGTATTCCCCTCTCTATGGGCCAGCCCCGCCTAATTACCCACTGGCCAGCTCTCAGCCGCAATTGTTTGCTGCCTTCAGCGCAATTAGTGACAACTGCAGCGGATTTAATTTGCGTCCCTTTCGCACGCAGGAGCCGCTGTCCATCGCTATTTGATTTGTGATTTCATTTCTTGCTCAATCAGACATGATTCAACTTGTTTTTTCGCGTGCCTTAAATAATCTTTGCTTAGGTGAAAATTATTGGAAATATTTAACATTCATGTTTACGAGCGTTTTGTTTGCGCCGTCGATGACGTCATAAACGAGCGGTACGCTCGAGCGCTCACCCTCGGCTCAGTTCAAACCAACACATGCTTATCACAATCGTGTGTGTGTGTGTGTGAGAGAGAGAGAGACACACTCATTGAAAATGCCTCGCCATGAAAATCTGTTTACATAAATGACAATATTTGCGTATTAATTGAAATGCGGCCCAGTGAAGCGACAACTGAACGGGTTTTGATGATGTCTGGACTCCCCCTAGTAGTTGGTGTGCCATCCATATCTAACACTTTTCGCACTTCTTCATATAGAATATAATTATTGGAAGGCATAAATTCAATTGCTCGTAATGCATATGAATTGATGTTTGTCGACCAAATAACTTCGCATGTATATTTTATGATATATATATGTATGTATGTATGTATGTATATACATATATGTATATACATGTTCGCAATTTCATTGAACAATGCTTCATTTGATACTCTAATAGCGGATATATACAAATAAGCATATGGGTAAGCTTGATATATATGATATATACATATGTATGTTTGTGGATGTATAAGCATGTATATATGTATGTATGTAGATACATATGTACATTTGTAAAGTCGAGCTAATATCCCCTCTGACTGCATATCTTTTTATTAGAGCTGTGGAATAAATTGAAACAGTTACGTGAGCTCAACGCTATAAAATTTGATCTATATTCTGGCTAGCAGACTTTTTTTTTCAATTTTTTTAGGAGTTTTATGGAGATAGAAATGCTTTATATTCTTTAATGTTTTAAAGCTTGGTTGACTCACTTTAATTCTAACAAAATGCAAAAAACATAAACAGCACTATGAGAATATTACAAAATATTACAAATTTTTTTCAGTTTCTCTCTGTCATAATCTTTTGAACTACCCTCGCATATGCTAAGTAAATTATGATATTTGATATTTCTATTTGTGGCTGAAATGCGGTTTTTACCTTATTCATATTTTGTTTATATCCATATAGTATAAATATCTTGTATTTTACAATTTGTATACTCATCATATTTCTCATTATCTGGCATCTAGTATAGCACCCATTACTCACTCTCTCTCTCTCAGCAATATGTGTTTATTATTGTTAAAAATTTATTTTTTCCAGTGTAGCCCATGTTATTAATCGTATTTCGCAATGGTGAAATAAATAGTTTCAATTCTTTGAATCGATGTGGAAGAAATATATATGTCTTTATATATTTAAATTTAGATTGTTGCATGTTTCAGTTCCATCAACGCCTGGCATTTTCATGCTTTGTAGTTGTTGTTGTTTATGGGTTAAGTTTTTTGACAGTTTGCTTGCTTGCTGGCTTTTTTTATGGCCAATAAATGGAAAACTTTGTGGCGCTTCGCGTCCCCCGCCTTTGGTAGGTTGCATGTGCAACAGATTTGTAGCTGTCGTGCGGTTGCCGGTGTTGGTGTTGGTGTTGTTGCAAAAACAACAACAATAAACACCTCTACGTGCCTGACTGCCACAAATTGTGGCATCCGCTGACCCTTGTTGCTATTGGCCATTTCTTTTCATTTGGCCCTGCGTAAAAATCTAAATTTGTTTCGCATTCTGTGTCTTGAATTGAATTTTATGTTCCGGACTTAACGATTCCAAAAGGAAATTGTTCGCACAACATGTCCCACATTTCGCCTTTTATTTTGGAATCCTAGCGCAAGTTTTGCACTGAGAGAAGAGTTGTCTAAGACTAGAATTTATAGCCAGAATTTATCCTCTTTGCAGAGTTTCTTTCTACTGTGGGATACTTGAGACTAAGGGTATACTGAGAGAAAAACTGGGCTAGAATGTATAACTGGGGATTGATTTGAAGGGTGAAGCGCATCGATCACAGATCATAAAACATCAAGAACTCATAAATAACTGAGCAATACTTTTTAGATTCTTCTACATATAAGAAAGACTTTAAATTTCATGTAATAAAAATTTAGGAAAATTCTTCGGTTATTCGCCAAGTGCTTTCTCAGCTGCATTTTGCCAACTGTATTTTAGATTTATGTCGCTTTTTGTTGCTTCATGACCTTTGCGAGCGGGTGGGAAAGTCGAGTGGCTTTCCATCTCAATTGTTTTGCCATTGCAAGCGCAAGAACTTAATTGCAAAAACTGCTTAAGCAAACAAAAACAAACAACGACAACTGCAAATTCTTGGCCCAAAGCCAACAAAAGAAAAAAAAAAAGAAAAAAAATATGAAATGAATGCAGCCAAAAATATGAGGAAATATATTTTCGACCATTTGCAATTGCTGGAGGCGCAAAGTTGGCGGCGGGTGGAGCAGGCGTGGCAGCGAGGTATATCTGCTCATTACAAATTCAAACTGTGCAACGCACGCAAATTGAAAATTTTTCACAATTGGGGGCAACAAACGATTTCTGTGGTTTCAGCCAATTTATGGGCCT